GATGGAATGCCAAAGAAATGCCAATGAAACCTTAAATATTAATAATTTGTGATTACTCAAATTGAGTGATGACAATTTGACAATTCCCAGGTGAATTCACTATAAACATGAGCAAAGTATCAGACAAAATTAACATCGCAAAAGTACAATTAGAGCGACCCCTGCTGGTTACAACATAAAAGTTAAGTGAATAAAGTAAGTTAAGTAAATTCCCTATTTGAGTATTAAATAGAGGTTATTGTATTATTATGATCAGTTAGGCACTGTGCTAAGTGCTTTAGGTACATTATCTCAGGTAAAAATCACAATAATCCTGAGTGATATCATTATGAGTGCCTGTGTTCACGCAGGTCTAAGAGGGACTGATGGCATTTGTCTGTACTCTAAACAGGCACTCTTTTCACTGTACCATACTGCCTGACATTGATGCTACAACTGCCCTCTCAGAGGGCTGACATTTCCATTCAACTATTCATTCAAGAAATACTGAGTATCCACTTTATACCATACTGCCTGACATTGATGCTACAACTGCCCTCTCAGAGGGCTGACATTTCCATTCAACTATTCATTCAAGAAATACTGAGTATCTACTTTATACCAGACACTGTCTTTAGCCTGAGAATTCAGTGGTGAACAAGATAGATAAGATATCTGCCTTCATGGAGTTTATATTATCATGGAGAAGATTAAGTACATGCTATAATTTCAGACTGTGAAAAATGCTATAAAGAAAAATATAACTGCACAGAGGGACAAAGAATGATGGGGTTGGTGTGTGTGTGTGGGGGGGAGGGTGACTCTTTATTTTATTTTATTTTAGAGACAGAGCCTCAAGCTATCGCCCTGGGTAGAGTGCCATAGCATCACAGCTCACAGCAACCTCTGACTCCTGGGCTCAAGCAAGTCTCCTGCCTCCGCCTCCCAAGTAGCTGGGACTCCAGGTGCCTGCCATAACGCCTGGCTATTTTTTGGTTGCAGCCATCAATTGTTGTTTGGTGGGCCCAGGCTGGATTCGAACCTGCCACTTCAGGTGTATATGGCTGGCGCCTTAGCCGTTTGAGCCACAGGCGCCGAGCCGGTGACTCTATTTTAAACAGGACGGTCAGGAGCTTTTCTGAGAAGGAGATATTTGAGCAGAAACCTCAGCTATAAGGGACTAGATAAACAAAGCTCTGGGGAAGCACTGCAGGAAGAGGAGCCAGTAGGTCCTAAAGGGTCTGGGTCAGATAAAAGTTTGCTAGGTTTGAAGAAAAGAAAGAAAACCATTTCTCTCACTCTATTCCAGCCATACCTGCTTTTCATTGTTTGTAACAAATGTCCACTATTTTCTCTATGGAAAAAACTCTATACCTTTCCAGAACAATTTCTTGCATTACTTCATCCCCATCTCCAATAACCCCTTCAAATTATAGTTATTTATCGAGGCTGGTCAAGTTCTACGTTTCCCATTCCCTGAAATACTATGATACTACTAAATCATAATGCACGTACTTAGTTAAAACTTAGTACTTAGTTATAAATGGGCCCTTCAGAGGATACTCCCTATGTATATGTTACCAATTTTGTAGTAATAACTGAAAATTCTAATTTAAAAGTCTATGTTAATGATGATAATTACTTATATGACTTTCCAATGAAGTGTGAGGCTATCACCAAATTATTGAATAGAATCTTTTGAAGTAGAATTGAATGGAAGTTTCAGAATGTCTCTATTTGCTACAGGGCTATAACACATGGAAAGAGAAGACTTTCTTAGACATCCTTGAACAACTCCTTTAAAAGGTTTCCAATGTGAAAACTACCTTAAAAACTCTTGTAAATTATATAAAGGCAAATACAATTATTAGTTAAATTAATAAGTAATATGTATTACTGCTTTCATTTATTAAGGGAATAAAGATTCCTTACTGTTTTAGTTTTTATGGAAATCTAAGAATTTCCTTCATCTTGGCTCTTAAGGGTTTGTACTGAGACCCACTGTAGCAGAAGCATCAAAAGCAGAAACAGAGAAATTGCACAAAATTTTGGGTCCCCCTCAGGCCTACTGAATCAGAATTCTGGGGGTAGGGCCCAGCACCCTGGTTTAACAAACCCTCCAGGTGATTTTGATGCAATCTATAATTTGTGAACTCCTCTCTTAATGTGAAGGGAATTGTTTTCTCAACTTTCCTATGTCTCTGAAGCTAATCAGTAACTCCAAAATTCCACCATGTCCGCTCGGCGCCAGTAGCCCAGTGGCTAGGGTGCAAGCAACATACTCTGGAGCTGGCAGGTTCAAATCCAGCTCAGGCCTGCCAAACAATGACAACTACAATCAAAAAATAGCCAGGGGGTGTGGTGGGTGCGTATAGTCCCAGCTACTTGGGAGGCTGAGGCAAGAGAATCTCCTTAAGTCCAAGAGTTTGAGGTTGCTGTGAGCTGTGATGCCATGGCACTCTATCAAGGGTGATATAGTGAGACTCTGTCTCAAAATAAAGAAACAAACAAAATTCTACCATGTTAAATTATTCTATTTAAAAAAATTTTTTTTTAGAGATAGAGTCTCCCTTTGTCCTCCTTGGTAGAGTGCCATGGCATCACAGCTCACAGCAACCTCCAGCTCTTAGGCTTAAGTGATTCTCTTGCCTCAGCCTCCGGAGTAGCTAGGACTATAGGTGCCCGCCACAACGCCGGGCTATTTTTTTTTGTTGTTGCAGTTTGGCCAGGGGGTTTGAACCCACCACCCTTGGTATATAGGGCTGGTGCCCTACTCACTGAGCCATAGGCACTTCCCAAATTATTCTTTTTTTTTTGACACAGAGCCTCAAGCTGTCCCCCTGCGTAGAGTGCTATGGCTTCACAGCTCACAGCAACCTCCAACTCCTGGGCTCAAGCGAGTCTCCTGCCTCCGCCTCCCAAGTAGCTGGGACCACAGGCACCCGCCACAACGCCCGGCTATTTTTTGGTTGCAGCCATTATTGTTGTTTGCCAGGTCCGGGCTGGATTCGAACCCACCACCTTAGGTGTATGTGGCTGGCGCCTTAGCCACTTGAGCCACGGGCGCCGAGCCAAATTATTCTATTTTAAACAACTGTTTAACACAATAACTTAACATAAATATCTTTAAGAAATAATGTTTAAGTCATTGAAAAATTTGTTTGCTTTACCTTAAAGTCAACATAAGTTTATCTTTTACAAATTCACATAATTTGTGCTAATATGTTTTAATATGTTTTACTATAATAAATTTATTCGCTGATCCCAAGTCAGTGTTGCTATTGAGTAGTGAGGTTTAATTGTCTGTGTAAAACCAGTTCAAGCATATCCACTGGAAAACTAAACATTGAACTTGTTCTCTGTGCTGCCACCTGCTGATGTATAAGGCAAACTTCATCTATTTAGAAGCACTATGTAATACTTCCAAGGAAGATAGAGTAGTAGTCTCTCATCTGTGGTTTCACCACCTGTGATTTCAGGAACCTGAGGTCAACCATGGTATGAAAATGTTACATTAATACTCTTGTACTTTGAGGCTATTACTAGTAAAATAAGGGTTACTGGAATGCAAGCACTGTGGTACCATAAGTCTATCTGATAACCAGAGGGCTACGAAGCAACTAACAGGTGAGTGGCATATACAATTGTGAATGTGCTAAGAGATGATTCACATCTCAGGCAGGACAGAGATGAGGAAGGAGATTTAACCATGGTACTCAGAATGGCATGCAATTTAAAACTTACTGTTTTTTTCTAGAAATTTTCCTTTTTTTTTTTTTTTCTGACAGAGTCTTGTTTTATAGCCCTTGGTAAGAGTGCTGTGGTGTCACAGCTCACAGCAACCTCAAACTCTCAAGCCCAATTCTCTTGCCTCAGCCTCTCAGGTGCCTACCACAATGCCTGCGTATTTTATTTTTAGAGACCATGTCTTGCTCTTGCTCAGGCTGGTCTTGAACCTGTGAGCTCAGGTAATCCACCCACCTCGGCCTCCCAAGTGCTGGGAGTAAGGCGTGAGCCACTGCACTCGGGCTTCCACTTATGTTATAATGCTTGTGTCCTTCACTCACTTCATCTCATCATGTATGCATTTTTATCATCTCACATAATCACAAGAAAAAGGTGAATATAGCATGATGAGATATTTTGAGACAGAGGGAGAGACCATGTTCATATAACTTGCATTACAGCATATTTTTATAATTGTTCTATTTTACTAGTTCATCTCTTGCTGTGCCTGTCTTAAATACTAAACTTTTATCATAGGTATGAGTGTAAAAGGAAAAACATGGTGTGTACAGGATTTGGTACTATCTGCAGACATCCACCAGGGGTCTTAGGACACATCCCCTGTGGAGAAGGGGGAACTACTGTTATTTAATCCAGCAACTCATTCCACATAAATAACTCAACTGCTCAGCTGTGAGAAGCAAGAGATTGGATGAGCTTCTAAAAAGTTAATTCTTGTTGTCATGAGTTTGAAACTGACCTCCGACTCCTACTTGATGTGTAGCATATCCTGGTAATCTGCTGGGCCCTTCACCCAGCCACAGAGTCAGCGTTGAAGAATCCGATTTTGCATGATGAAAGCAGAAGCCCAGCGATGCTGCGGGGGCAATGAATCGGCTTTGGAGGATGGGAATGTGCAGCCATACAGCTATTCTACCTTCTGATCTCCACTGCTGTATTGCAGCTAAAAGGTAAGAGACAATGATCTATAAATATTTTCCAGTGAAACAAGTGGAATTAATTAAAACTCATGTCAAGGTGTCACTTCCTGTTCTAGAAGGACATCTGTAAGCATGTTAGCTCTCTGGAAAGAGATCCCAGAATGTTCTGTTTATATCCCAGTGTTGGAACTATCAAGTTTTACCATCTTATTTATATGATTTTTCCATCATACTGAATTTCTTAAGAATAAAGTCAATATCGTGCTGACTTTGTATCTTCTATACCATCTAAGATAATGGCACATAATGGGTGTTCAACAGTGATAGAATGAACAAATAAACTGATTTAAACAAACAAAAAAAAAAACTGAATGCTATTCTTTTTTTTTTGAGACAGAGCCTCAGCCTCAAGCTGTAGCCCTGGGTAGAGTGCTATGGTGTCATAGCTCACAGCAACCTCCAACTCCTGGGCTTAAGCAATTCTCTTGCCTCAGCCTCCCAAGTA